CTCGGCCACCGCCAGCTCGTGCGTACCGAGTGCCCCGGCGACGCGCTCTTCCACCAGCTGCGCAGCTGGCCACACTTCCACGAGGTGAGTCTGCGACGTCCGACGTCCGCATGACCTGGGCCTGCCCCCCATGTGACACAAGCTCAGCCCCTAACCCTTGCCTGTCTGCCCAACCTCAGCAGGCCCCTCTCTTTCCTGTAACCCCTACACTCACACAGCTTCAGCCAGGCCCCTGGTCTCCCTTGCAGCCCTTCTATTCGGGCAACCTAGTCCCAGCCTTTAAGTTGTTCTGCTCACAACATTTCCTGTCCCCTGCCCTCTGCGTGCACAACCTTAGCCTGGCCCCTGACCCAGCCAGCTTGTTGTTTGCCCAGCCTCCAATACGTCTGCGCTCACAACCAGGGCATGGGCCCTGATTCCTGCAGCAGCCCCTCTGCCCTTACAGCCGCATCACCTGTACCCGAGTCACATCGCTGCTGCCTGCACAACCTCATCCCAGCCCACATAACCTTGGCCTCACCCCGGCCCCCTACCCAAAAGACCTCTGTATACCCAACAGTAACCTAAGTGGTGTCCCTCTTCCAAAAACCGCTTTGCCTGCACATCTCTGTCCAACTCCTAACTGTGTGTTGCAGTCTTCTGCCCAGACCATCTCAGCCCTAAGGATGCTTGCTCCGCCCCAGCCTCCCTGACCTTTGATGCTGCAGCCATCTAGGCCCAAACAGCACAACCTTGGCCGCAGCCCCTCGATGAACACACACCTCCACTCACACACCTGCACAATCTCGTGCTACCTGCACACTCCCATTGTGTTTCATGAAGCTGGCCTGCCGTCCGTGTGTACCCAGCCCCTCACTTTGTCCTCTTCCTCAGGCTCCCACCAGGAGCAGAGGACACCCAGCCTCACCCACCCCCAAGCCTCACAGTCTCTTGCCTTTTCTAGAATGTATAGCCAAGGACTGCCAAGAGCGCCTCCAGGAGATCCAAGAGGAAGCCGCCTCTAGTGACCATGCCGGCCACAGACCTCCAATAAAGAGACTGTGTGAAGAAAGCCTGTGTCTATGCATCATCCGTGTTTGCCCAGAATCAGACCCTGAGATAAAAGTTCCAGTGCAAGTAGCATGGGAGGCGATCCCAGGACAGATTATTCGGGGAACAAGGAAGAGAGATAGGAAAAGGAAGGAAGCTCAGAAAGGGTGCTTTACCAAGCAAGTTGGCACTGGGGCACATGGAGCTCAGTCCCACTAGGGACTTCTGGAGGGCAGCATAGGATACAAATCTCAAAGTTTTCCCACCCAAGAAGTGAGGGGACTGGGGTATTGATCCTCCAACTCCCACAGTCATTGGCTGAGGGCTTCTCTCAGGAAAGTGCTAATTCTCTGGCACTTTGGGGCTGCTTGTTGCATGGGCTCCATCTGTCAGAGAAAGTCCTCCAGCAAAAATTGCAGGGAGTTGGGAGTGGAGCCAGTATGCAATGAGGTGGTAAATACTCAGGGATGCAGCAGAACTCAGGGAGACTCCGTGTGTGTGTGTGTGTGTGTGTGTGTGTGTGTGTGTGTGGTGAGTAGCCTGACACAGTATGAATAAGATGGGCATATCTAAGGGGTGTGCACCTGCCTGAACACCCTCCTCCTCAGGATGGGTTAGAGCAGTGGTTCTCAACCTTCCTAATGCCGCGACCCTTTAATACAGTTCCTCATGCTGTGGTGACCCCCAATTTCATTGTTACAAATTGAACATAATTAAAGTATAGTGATTAATCACAAAAACAATATGTAATTATATATGTGTTTTCCGATGGTCTTAGGCGACCCCTGTGAAAGGGTCGTTCGATCCCCAAAGGGGTCGCGACCCACAGGTTGAGAACCGCTGGGTTATAGAATTTGTGAGGCCCAGTACAAATGAAAATGCAGGGCCTATTGTTCAAAAAGCAAGAACTTCAAGACAGTGATAGCAGAGCATTAAATCAAATGTAGGGTGGAGCTCTTCTGCGTGTGGGCTCCTGGGGTGACTGCACAGGCCGCACATCCATCGAGGTGATCCTACCCACCCCACCCCCTGGATTCCAGTCTCCCTTGCCTTTTCACAAACTGTTCCTTCTCCCTAGCCTGCTCTTCCCATAGCCAGCTCCTTCTCATGCTTCAGGTTGCAAATGTCACCTCCTCGGGGAGGCCTTCCTGGATTTTTCCAGTTCAGAGAGCATTCCTTCTGCTCAGCCTCTCTACTTCAGTCTGTCTATGTTCTTCCAAGTCCTCCTCACCAGGTAGAGATGTCTTGCATCTGTGTTCAGGATCTGTTTCCCTCACTAAACTGTGAGCTCTGGGAGGGCAGGAATCGTGTTGGTTTAGTTCCCCCATGGCTTCTCCAGCACCTAGCACGTAGTAGGCACTCAGGAAACATTTTTTTAACTAAAAGAAGGCTCTTATTATAAAGCTTCTGAAACTGATATTATCATTGTGTTGTACAAATATGGAAACCAAGGCTCAGAGAGAGGAAGTGACTTGCCTGAGGTCGCATAGCTAGAGAAGGACCAGCTGGTACTGAAAGCCACTCCTGGGCCCGATTCTACTGACTCTCATGTTGACTCATTCATTCCTTACAACGGTATTTGCCCATCTCTTTTTTCAAGAAAACATTTATTAGAAAAGTGCATCAGTGAATTTTCACAGCCCAACACATTCATAGAACCAACACCCTGCTCAAGATATAGACATGTTTGCTGGGCCCAAGTGGCTCAGTGTCATCCTGAGCACTGAAGTGTTATCGATTCGATTCCGGTTCAGGGCACATGCCTGGGTTGTGGGTTTCGATCACTGGTCAGGGAACATGCAGAAGGCAGCCGACTGATATTTCTCTCTCGCATCGATGTTTTTCTCTCTCTGTCTCCCTCCCTCACTCTTCCTTCCTCTCTCTAAGGATGTCCTTAAGTGAGAATTAAAAATAAGAAATAGACCTATAAAATTTATGTTATGTGACTTTCACCTCAATTTTATTTTATTTTTTTAAATATATATTTTATTGATTTTTTACAGAGAGGAAGGGAGAGGGATAGAGAGTTAGAAACATCGATGAGAGAGAAACATCGATTCAGCTGCCTCCTGCACGCCCCCCCCTGGGGATGTGCCCGCAACCCAGGTACATGCCCTTGACCGGAATCGAACCTGGGACCCTTCAGTCCGCAGGCCGACACTCCATCCGCTGAGCCAAACCAGCCAGGGCTTCACCTCAATTTTAAAAGCCATAAAAACGATATCAGTTCCCAAAGCCTCTCATACCCCCTTTCACTAGCCCCTCCAAAGGAAACTGACATCCTGACTTATTGGACATAGTTTTGTCTATGTCCATAGACATAGGGTTGGTTCAGCTCTCCTGACTTATTGGAGCTTTATATAAATGGAACAATACAGTGTATAGTTTTCTCTTTTTCTTTTTTTTATTTATTTTTTTTGCTTAGCAGTGCTTGTAATTCATCTGAATTCAATCATTCAGTAGTTTGTTCATTCTTATTGCTGCACGGTATTCCACTGTGGGAACAGACCACAATTTGCTCATCCTAGGGTATATGGACACTTGGGTTGTTGTCAGTTAGGGGCTATTACGAATAGTCTATTGGGTGAACTGCTGGGTCAGAGGAGAGCTGTACAGTCAATGTTTGTCGACCAAACAGTTTTCCAACTTGAATGAATTGGTCTGCGCTCTAACCAGCAGTGGATGACAGTTCCAGGGGCTCAATGTTCTCCCCAGCACTTGGACAACAGGTGCCCATCTTGCAAAGAAGGCCACTGAGGCTCAGAGAGGGGCATACACTGCCTCCTCTGGTCAGTGAGAGATTTGGGTTCCTGCTCTGGCACCTCCTCTCCTCCTGCATCCTGCCCACATTGTGCCCTCCCAACCTGGCCGTGGGGTGGGGTGGGACAGACAGGGTCACGTGGAGTAGCGTTCAGCAGGAGGAAGCCAGGCAGTGTGCAGACGGCTGTTGCCGCTCGGGCTGATCAGGAAATCAAGGTAAGAGAGGGAGTGTGTGTGGCCCCCAAGGGGATTTTCTGGGGGCAGGGCTGAGAGTGGGGAGGGGGCCGAGATGAAGGCAGCATGTGGGCAGACACAAGATGGAACTGTCACCCTCTTGTTCCCCAGGAGAATCCCCACCATGGACCCACTAGCAAGAAGCCAGTCCTCCAAAACCCAGCATGCAGCCCAAACTCCGCTAACCTCCTATCGCTGGCACACAGGAGGTGGTGGAGAGAAGGGAGCTGGAGGGTTCCACTGGGGCCGCTTTGCCAGCTGGGGGAGGGCACTGAGCCACCAGGAGCCCATGGTCAGCAGCCAACCTGCCCGTCGCTCGCTGTTCCGTCGTGTCAGCTCTGCGCCCCCCAAGGAGTCTCGCAGGAACCACCTCAGATTATCCAAGACCCTCTGGGGGAGGCATAAGAGCCCATCACTGGAGGCAGAGCCGGAGCCAGAAGCCTCAGGTACATGGCTCCCCCATTCAGAGCTGGGGCTAGGCTGGGAGACCGGATGCTTTGGGTTTTGTCTGCCTCCAGAGCATCAGCCATACAGACACAGGAAGTTGTGGGGAGTGCAAGAAGCCCAACAGGAAGTGGCTGGGGCCCAGCTGCCCTCTTCCCTCTTTCCCCCTTACCCAGGGCCTGGGGGTGTGGGGTGTGGCCAAGGAGCTGTGGGCAAGGGGGTCCAGCCTGGGGAAGACACAGGGAATGAATAGACGGATGATAGCACTATCCAGATGCCAAATGGCCCTTGGCCCCAACTGGTCTCTTGTCACATCCACTGGCCCACTCTCATCCTCTCCTGCCTGGATGTCCATCTCAGCCTCCTCCTGCTCTCCTGCCCTCCAGCTTCCATGTTTTAGTTTCTTCACTTCCTTGGGCCTCAGCTTCCCCATCAATGAAGTGGGAATCATGATCCCTACCTTGAAGGGTATATGATTTCCTTCATTCATTTATTCATTCATTGAAACAGAGGCCTGTTGAGCATTGACTATGTGCCAGGCCCTGATTTAGGCACTGAGGAAAACAGCAGTGACTAAGAGATGTCACTGGACATTGAAACAGAGGCCTGTTGAGCATTGACTATGTGCCCTGATTTAGGCACTGAGGAAAACAGCGGTGACTAAGAGATGTCACTGGCTGGCCCATGAGACTCACAGTGTAGTGGGCACAAAAGACAGTAACGAGTATAAACAAGAAAATGACAGATAGAGCTCAGTGTCGCACAGAGGGATCTAGAAGGGTATCATGAGGATTGGAGCTCTAGAGCATGAAGCACTAGCCCAGTGTCCAGCGTATTTTAAGTGGTCCATGAACAGTGGGAGTTATTTCTCCCCCTAGTGGTAAAACAATAGGACAGATGGGTCATCTGGGAGGGTTGGTTCAGCTCTCCTATTCCTGGAAGCTCATTTAATGCTCACCATTCATAGTCTCATTTGGCAAAAGCATCCCTTCAACCCCCTTCCAGGGTATTAGGTATTGCCCACTCCATCGTATCCAGAGAGAGCTCTCTAACAAGCAGGCCTCATCTTTGAGCATGTGAGGATGCCCATGGCTCCTCACTACCCCCAGGATAAAACCTCTAACTGGCACCCAAGGTCCTGAACCAATCTCTTCCTGGACCTTCTCTTCTAGCCTCTGAGCCCTCCATTTTTTTTTTTTGCCCTTCCCTTTGTGTCCCTGGGCCTTGACATCTCTCAGCCTTTGATCAAGCTGTTCCTGCCACCATCCCCTCCATCTCTGTCAAAATCCAACCTGCTGTTCAAGTCCTAGCACAAACTTACTCTCTCTGGAGGCCTTCCCTGGCCTGCTGCACAACCACCACCCCCTACCCTGGCCTTTTTCTATTCCTTTCTCAAACTTTGAATGTAGTCCACCTTAGACTAGTTATTGATGTAAGGAACCAAGGCTGCTGTCCTGTTGTTTAACTTCTTGGACCTTTGTTATTCTTGCTCATACAACCACTGTCTTGGTTAAGAGAAGGATGCTTGCCCTGACGGGTTTGGCTCAGTGACTAGAGCGTCGGCCTGCGGACTGAAGGGTCCCGGGTTCGATTCCAGTCAAGGGCATGTACCTTGATTGCGGGCACATCCCCAGTGGGGGGGGGGGTGCAGGAGGCAGCTGGTCGATGTTTCTCTCTCATTGATGTTTCTAACTCTCTATCCCTCTCCCTTCCTCTCTGTAAAAAGTCAATAAAATATATTTTTTAAAAAGAGAGAGAAGGATGCTTATGTCTGAGGTCCAGCTCAGTCACTCACAAGCTGTGTGAACCTGGGCAAGTCATTCCATCTCTCTAGGCTTCAGTTTCCTTCTTGGTAAAATGGGGCTTATAATAGCCCTTTTAATGGCCTTGGGGGATTAAATGAGAGAAGGCGTGTGGAGCAGTGAACACGGTACAGGTCACACAGTAGGGGGGCTGCGTCTGCCCAAAGCCAGTGGAGACAAGGTCCAGAGAGTTTTGCTCAACAACTACCTGACATGGCTGCCTTGGGGGGGGAGTGAGGGGGAGGAGGAGGCAATTAGGAGGGAGCCCCGTTGAGCTTTGGTGAATGGAAAGGGGGGTCTGAGGTTCAGGAAGAAGTCCCAGTTCCCCAGCACCTCTTCCTCCACCCAGAGCCTGATCCAGAGCCGGAGCCCCCAGCCCCACAGATCCCTGAGGCACCCCCACCCGATGTGCCTGTCTGGAACATCGAAGCCTTCACTCTGCTCGATGGGAGGCTGGTGCTGCTTGGGGGTGAGGAAGAGGTGAGAGAGGGCCTGTGGGTAAGGGGAAGGAAGGAGGGGAAGGAATGGGATAATGGGAAGCATCTGCCTCTCCCTCTACCTGCCTGCCTGCCTTCCCTTTCTGACTACCCACTCCCACGGAGGAACAGGGTCCTCGCCAGTCCAGGGTGGGGAGTGCCAGCTCTGAGAGCAGCATCCAGGTGGCCATGGGGAACCTCAGGGAGGCAGGTAAGTAAGTGTGAGAGGTGAGGAGGGCTGGGGCATTTGGGAGCATGTCAGGGTGGGTCAGAATCCAAGATGATCCCATCTCCCAACCTCCCATCCCCGAACACCACAGACCGAGTCGCTGGAAAGACTGAGCCGGAGGCTGCTGGCTCCAACCAGGTCCACAACGTGTGGGTGAGGCATCCACTGGGGGATGGGGAGGTGGGGAGAGAAAATACTTCCAGACCCTCAGAGGTGAAAGGGGACTCTTACTGGGTGATTTGGGGCGGATCACTGAACCTCTCTGGGCCTCAGGGTCTCTGTCAAATAGAGCTAATGGGAAGACCTCCCTCTCTGGGCTGTTTGTGAGACATCAATAGAGAATGCAGGACAGCAAACAATTGGTGCTTTAAAAATGGGAGCTATTGGTGGCCTTTATTATTCTTGCTAATGCAGCCTGAGTTTGTGGTCCTCCAAGAATAGCAGATCCTCCAGGACGCCCCGAGGGAAAAGGAGCTGAAGTGGGAGCACAGGGTTCTGCTCAGCTGACACCCCTCTCCCCGTAGGGGTTGCTCAAACGGCTGAAAGAAAAGAAGAAGGCCAGGGCAGAGCTGGGAGCCAGTGCCTCTCGGGATGGGTAAGAGTCTGAGGGGCTGGCGGGGCTGGGATTCAGCATTGTCCCCTCCCCCTCCTCCTGCCTTTCACTCTGACTTTCACCACATGCCCTCTGTGTCCTGCCCTGTGCTGGGCCATATTGGGGCCACGGAAAGATCACAGCATGGAGCCAATCCCCCGTGGAAGAGTGGGAGCAGTCTGACACAGTAACTCTAAAACCGGAACTAAATAAAAATCCTGGTCTGAGAGTGTCAGGGGAGGAAACTGAGCTGAGGTCTGAATAATGGGTGGGAATTAACTCGGCCAAGAAGGGCGGGGACAGCATTCCAGACAGAGGGAACAGCACGTGAAAAGGCCAAGAGGCCGGGTGAAGACACAAAAATAAGTCCAGTGTGACCGGACTCCAGACAACGAAGGATTAAGTGAAGGGAAACGAAGGCTATGGTGACAAGGGCTATACTATACAAGGTCATTCAGGCCACCATGAGAAGCTGGGTTGATCCTAAAAGTGATGGACTCAAGTCCAATTTAGGTTCAAGTCCATCCTGGCCTCCCTCCACCCTTCAGGCTGTAGGGGGTGATGAGGGGAGAAGATAGAAATGACACTCCTTCCCCCACCCCCATCCCCAC